TCTCCACATGTTGGACTGATACCTTATTGCACTGAATCTCAAATTTGTGAGTGACATTATTATTTCATTGTCTGATTTGTTCAGTCTGCAAATAAAACTGTACATTAAAATTCTAAGTACAGCTTGCAAAGTGTTCACTCATGCACTAACAAACATCTCAGTCACACTCGTCCATTGTGGCCTCCTCAAAAGCACCGTAAAGCGTCATTGTAGACCACCTGCAGTCTTTGCAAACTGGCTTTTTTATAATTAGTCCAGAGGTGAGCTGTGTACAACGGTGTACAATATGATTTAAACAATAACAACTTTACATCCTTTGTACAAGAGCCAAACTTAATCATAAGAGTATTTGCCTGAGCATAGAGCATCCTACACTGTCTGTACATATCATCATCATCTATCATGTCCGCAGTGATGGGTCTTCTGAAGGGACGCAAAAGTGCACCTATAAAGAAAAACCTCACCTTCTTCTGTAGCACCCAGTTACCCAGTTTGCTGAAGACACTTGTGACTAATGTGATTATATGTGTCACTCTGGGGACTTCTGCAGAATCCGTCTGAGTTAACTTTCTCCAGAGAAGCTGTAATGTTCAGATCAATACTTGAAGCTGGATGTCTGCTGGTATTGCTCTATTTGTTTTGATTGGTTTGAGTGCTTAGTTTTGGTTTAATTCATATTTAATCCTGGTTTATTCCTGATTTTGACCTGGTTTAAACCCCATCTGTCACAGGACTGTCTGCACCTCAAGCTCACATATCAGGGAAGTGTTAACTACAGCTTCTTTCACCTCGTGTACACGTTTACACACATGTCAGACCCTCCCTCTGTGGGCCGCGCTCTCTTTAAAGATCAGATCTGAGCGTGTCTGAAGTCTCTGATTCACAGTTTGAGTCTGAGCTGAGGTCTTTACCAGCAGCAGAGACAGAGACTGAAGCCTGAGAGACAGTGTACTGTTTGTGAGTCAGATCCAGGTGGGACATTCCTCTTCGCTCTCTCATTTTACATGAAACTCACTTTGAAGTTCCAGTTAAAGTGCTTATGACAAGTTTGGATCATTCTGTAGTTTTGACTGAAATGTGTGATAATACCTGTTGTAAATATAAATTATACACCAATTTTACAATCTTACACCAATCAAGAACCAATTTGTGAAGAAAACAAGAAAAACATGCTGAAAATGACAGTGGAAGTTCTATTTTTATTGATGACTTTACATTAGGGAGAATTCTGTTCATAGGTTTGGTACAAGAAACACATTTCAACAGAAAGGTGTTTTCTTATATTTTTATGTGTCAAATAATAATCTTTATGTAGATTAGATGGCACATGATTGCTAGGTAACAGTTATGGATTTGCCTAGAAAAACTGAGAAATTGTTTAAACAGGGAATGAACAATTTTAGTCAAATCTTCAGTCTAAGTGTGTAATAGTCAAAGGACACGTTTTGTAAAAAAATAAATAAATAAATTTTAAAAAAGTCTAAAAAGTTACATACTTGGGCTTTAATAGAATAGAATAGAATGCCTTTTTTTGTCACTATACACATGCACAAAGACATTAAAAGCATCTCACCCTCCAGAGCAGACATGCACGTGTGAAAAAAAGAAAAAAGAAGAACAAAAGAAAAAAAAATATAAATAAATAAAAACTCGTGCAAGACCCTCGTGCAAGATATGGCCCTGTATTCAATATTGCACTCAGTCAAGATAGAAATTATAATAATAATGCATCAGCTTTATACAGCACTTCTGTGGACACTCAAAGACACTTTACAGAGCATTATTCATTCCTCCACACCCAGTGATGGTAAACTACTACTGTAGCAACAGCTGCCCTGGGGCAGACTGACTGAAGTGAGGCTGCCAATCTGCACCATCAGCCCCTCTGACTGTCACCATCACTCACACACCTCTTTTAAACTAGGCAATGTTGGTGAAGTGTCTTGCCTAAGGACACAATGACAGTTTTTGCAACTGGCGCCCCCCTGTGGAAACTGTTTTTCCCTGTGGTCTTCCATCCAAGTACTAACCAGGCCCGGACTTGTTTAGCTTTTGACACCTGATGAGCTCAGGCTATGACAAGCCGGTATGGCCACATATTGCACTGTCTTTTATATTGCACTGTATTAAATATTGCACAACAGGTGGATGAAAGGAGATCAGGCGATGGAGGGATAGGAATGTAGAGTCGGTTAGTCAGAGCATGTGTCAAGATTTTTAAGATTTAACAACAAATATTGCATAGTTTGTTTGTTTGTTTGTTTGTTTTTTTAGTTTACAATTCTACTTCCTGGTTAAACATGGACAGCAGATGTGACATAGAGGTATTTCCATAACTGTTACACAGCAATGATAATGTTCACAAGGGCCAAACTGTGTGTAAATTGTACAATAGACAGGTTAGGCATGGTTAGACTAATGCAAATGAAAGACAACACAAAAATAATGCCTCCCTTGTTCGTAAACTGTCCTTGCATTGTGGACATTTCCGTGTTGAGGACATAGGTAGAGCACTACTTCCTCTATTTTTGTACTTTTCTTCTCAACTTTTTTCCATAAACTGTGACTTCGCTTGGTTTGGTACTATCCCACCAATCCAAAGCAGAAAAGAAAAACATGAAAACTGTTATATGTTGACAATAAAAGTACCAAAACATTTATTAAATTTAGTTTGACTGTGTATTTATTATTGTTTGGAGGTTACTCTAACGCAACATCTCACATGAAAACAATATGTAAATGTTATGCAAATGAAGCAGCTTATTTGTCTATAATGAAAAATGTTTACTGACTTTTAAACAGGAGGTATTTGACTTCTATGGGGTATTAAATTTTAACACTTGACATATTTAGATCATAGATATTTAGACCTTTTATTGCTCTGAAAATGCTATATTCACCAAAAAGCGCATTTGTAAGTGTTTTATTAGACTTTAGTTAACACTTTTTGGGAGCACGGGTAATGTAGGCTTGTGGGCGGAGCCTTGTACAGAATCTTACAGCTGACCATAAAGAAGTTTTGAATAGGGTCTTCAGACATATTTTTTGATAAGGGAACAACTTTATAATGTAGAAAGCGCAAAACAATTCATTTTATATTGTTTATTTATATTTTATTACACGTTTATGGCTTCTATATTATGCAAATGACCTTATTATCTTGAAGCCATGTCAGCAGGGCCGTAAACAGAGGGGGGACAAATGGGTCTGTTGTTCCGGGTCCCAGGGTTTTTGAGGCCTAGACCTGGATCCTCTTCCTTTATTTATTTATTTATTTATTTATTTATTTATTTAAACAAGGACAGAGCATGGAAAACATTAAACTCAGAGTGAAAAGATGCTCTGTGCCAGATTTAACTACAAGCTGCTTTCCATCTGTTGTCATTGGGCAGGTACAAAATAAGTTAAAGAAACTATTTACACACTAAGGTAATTATTTGCTTCATCAGTAACAGTGTCTCCTTAAAATAACCACTATCCAGTTCATCATTAAAACAATCAAAAATAATTCATTCTAATTTCTATAAATACCAGATTTCAAATTCATCATTAGCTTCTAAAAAAATCATTGTCATCAATCTCCTCTAGACTGTACATTTACCAAAGTTATCAGTATTAGGGGTGTAACAAGATCCAAGTCTCATCGTCACGGTATAAACCTCATGGTACGATATTTGTTGCGATATTGTGGGAAAGCTCACGATATGGCAGGGAGGCTCACGATTAGGGATGTAACAATATCCAAATCTTTCTGTGCGAAATTTTCACCATATACATCTCATGGTACGATGATTATTGCGATATTTTGTGGAGGCTAATGTGCTACTTTTTCCTCTTAAAATGCCTTGACAAGAATTAACCCAAAGAACTAAGACTTAAAAGTGTTAGAACTGTTATTTCTTCTTTTAGTCTTCACTGAAATGGAGCAAAGGATCATGGTCTATGTAGTTCCCTCTGTCTTTTTCTTTAGCTATTGCTGCACCATAACTCTTCATTTAAGCAAAGACACATGTAATTCGATATATTGTGATGGTCCACGATATTATTGTGAGAACTTTGACGATACAATAGCACAATATTTCGGTTATTGTTACATCCCTCATCAGTATTATCCTCGAAAGTACAATTCGTCAGCAACATGAAAATCAAGACAAATGTCGTAAGTCAAACACAATCATTTTACGTCTACACAACACATCTGTAAAACAATCAGTCAAAACGTTTAACTGTTTGAAGAAACCTAATGTTGCCTGCTGCTCAGAAGACATTGTTTTAACCCATGAGAGCAAGTGTGGTAGTTAGTACAAGTTTTAAGTTTAGCTAAAAGCGTGTTCCAGTTTATTTATTTTTTTTTTTTTTTTATTTATAAATTTATATTAGAGGAGGGCCCATGTGATGCTTCTTGCCCCGGGCCCCCAAATTCCTGTCGACGGACCTGCTTGTTACATCGTTACCCCCTCAAAAACAGATCTGGAATTGTGTTTTGTTTCATTCACACATATTTAAGTAACGCTTTATTAGTTTCTCTACATCTCCAAAGTTCAAAATGCTCTGTCCCACCTTGTGATGTCGTGAAATGGTAGTTTTGTATTTAAGAGCTACTTTTTTTAAATCGTTTATCGGTAGAAATTGGACAATTCCAGGGCTGAAAATATCCAAATGATTTTAGTGAAAGTGTGTGGAGTTTAAAAACACAGTGTATTACCACATGACATCACGAGGTGGAACAGAGTGTTTACTTAAAATTTTAAATGAGGTAGAATTCCTTGTTTTCTGAGTAACGTCGTTTTCATAACAAACCCCTATTGTCCCGTCTTCTTTTACCTGTCCGTATCCGCCTCACCTGAGCTCCGTGCGCGTCCCTCGTGCGTGCACACCTGTGTACGTCACCGTGTGTGTGTTTGAGTGTGTGTTTGTGTGCGAGGGGGCGGGGCCAGCACGGGGGAGCGCGTGTAGAGGCTCGAGCGCTGGATGCCCTCAGTCTCACGAGAGAGGCTTGGACTGGCACAGCGTAACTCCGCGCGTCACTTTCCTGCACAGACGCGAGACACATTTTGGATTTTAACTTTTGTGGATTATTTTTGAAGAAAGAGAATTGAAATTACAAACTTTTGGAGCGGGAAGAGAGAGTTTTACCGGATTTGCTCGGAATATGATTTGAAGCAAGGAGAGGGCTGCTGCTGCTCCGAAACAGGTGATTTATTTGGATTTAAAAACATTGCGCGAAAGACCTGGTTTAGTTCTGGTTTAGTCCCGGTTTCATTTTTCCAGAGTTAGACCCCATTCATAATTTAGTCCTGGTTTAGACCCGAATTCATTGCTGATTTAACCCTGGTTTAGTCCGGTTTTACATCGGGTTTATTCCCTCTTCAGTCCCGGTTTAGACCTGGTTCCATCCTTGTTTATAACTCTTTTAGTCCTGGTTTAGTTCTGGTTTAGTCTTGGTTTAGACCTGGTTCTATCCTTGTTTATAAATGTTTTAGTCCGGGTTTAGTCCTGGTTTAGTCCTGGTTTAGTTCTGGTTTAGTCCTGGTTCTGTGCTTGTTTATAACTGTTTTAGTCCCGGTTTAGACCTGGTTCCATCCTTGTTTATAACTGTTTAGTCCTGTTTTAGTTCTGGTTTAGTCCTGTTTAAGTCCTGTTTTAGTCCTGGTTTAGTTCTGGTTTAGTCCTGTTTAAGTCCTGTTTTAGTCCTGGTTTAGTTCTGGTTTAGACCTGGTTCCATCCTTGTTTATAAATGTTTTAGTCCGGGTTTAGACCTGGTTTAGTCCTGTTTTAGTTCTGGTTTAGTCCTGGTTTGTTCTAACTCTGATCATCTCTTGGTTTATTACGTTTTTGTTTTTGTTTTTTTGTTTTTATGCGCAAGTTTTTTGCGCATTGAATCAAAAATTTAGTCTTTTATTTTTATTCGAACTTTATTATCCAAATTAGTTAAATGTTTAGTTTAGTTTTATTTGAACTCCTTTTTTTTTTTTTTTTTTTTTTTTCTTGCATTTTTGTTGTAAATCTTGCGTTCTTATCACTGTCCCGTATTGCGCACCCGTATCTCCACCGTAGCTCCGGTTTAGTCAGTGTTTTGACTCGCGTATAGTCCGGATTCAGGTTCAGTCCTGGTTCAGTCCTGGTTTAGTCCCGGTTTAGTCCCGGTTTAGTCCTTGTCCCTCTTCAGACCTGCAGGTTCATGTTGATCCAAGTCTAATCCCAGCTCTTTTAAATCCTCTCACTTTTCTTTGCTGCGTAAAAGTGCGTCTCTCCTCTCCTCTTCTCTCTCTTTCTCTCCTCTTACTTTTGTCGTATTTATTTCTTTTTTTCTCCTTTTCCCCCTCCTCACTCTATCTCTCCATCGCTTTCTCTTCTTCCCTCATCTCTCTCACCCTCCCACCCTCCCTCCCTCCTCTGCCCCTCTCCTCTCTCTCTCGTACTCTATCTCTCCTTCCTATCATCTTTCTTTCCTAACTCTCCCTCCGTTGTTTCACTCTCTTATTTATTTATCTATCCCTTCTCCTCTGCCTCCTTCGTTCTCTTCTTACTCTCTTTCTCCTCTTCCTCTCTATCACTCTCTCCTCTTACCCACTCATTTCTCTCTCTCTCTCCTCTTTTCTCTCCTCTGCTCCTCTCTATCACTCTTTTTTGGCTTCTCCATCCCTCTCTCTCCTTCCTTCCCTTTTTCTCTTTCTCTCCTCTTTCTATCGCTTTCTCTCTCCTTTCTCTCATCTACCCTCTCACTCGTTCTCCTTCTCTTTCTCTCTCCTCCTTTTTCTCCCTCTCTCCTTTCTCGCCCCCCTTACCCTACTCTGAATCAATCACTCATTCATTCTTTCTTTCTTTCTCACTCTCCTCTACCTCTTCTCTCCTTCTTGCCTCTTCTCTTTACTCACCCCTCTCTTCTCCTCTTCTCTCTCTCTCTCTCTCCCTTCCCCTGCACTCTCTCCCCTCCTCTCTTTCTTTCTCTCTCCTCTCTCTCTCTGCCTCCTTTCCTCCCTCTCTCCTCTTTTCTCTCCTCTCTTTCTTCCTCCCTCTGCTCTTCCTCCTCTCTCTCTCTCCTCTCCTCTCTTTTCTCTCCATTCCCCTGCCCCCTCTCCTCTCTTCCCCCTCTTCTCTCTCCCTCTCTCTCTTTGCTCCCTCTCCTCTTCCTCTCTCTCTCCCCACCTCTGCCCTCTCTCCTCTCTCTCTCCTTCCTTCTGCCCCCTCTCCTCTTTTTCTCTCCCTCCCTCTGCCCCCTCTCTTCTCCTATTTTCTCTCCCTCTCTCCCTTCCCCTGCACTCTCTCCTCTCCTCTCTTTCTTTCTCTTTCCCTCCCTCTGCCCCTCTCCTCTCTCTCCCCCTCTCTCTGCCTCCTTTCCTCCCTCTCTCCTCTTTTCTCTCCTCTCTTTCTTTCTCTCCCTCGCTCTCTCTCCTCTTCCTCTCTCTCCCCATCTCTGCCCTCTCTCCTCTCTTCTCTCCTTCCCTCTGCCCCCTCTCCTCTTCTCTCTATTCTCTTCTCTCCTCTCTTTCTCTCCCTTCCTCTGCCTCTCTCCTCTCTTTCTCTCTCTCCCTCTCCCTTTCTTTCTTTCTTTCTCTTTCTCTTCCTCTCCCCTTTCTTTCTTTCTCTTTCTCTCTCTCCCTCTCCCCTCTCCCTCTTTCTTTCTTTCTCTCTCCCTTTCTCTCCTCTTTCTCTCTCCTTCTCTCTCTCCTCTTTCTCTCCCTCCCTCTCCTCTCTCCTCCCCTTTCTTTTCTCTTCCCTCTCTCCCTCCCTCTCTCCTCTCTTTCTCTCTCCCTCTCTCCTCTCTTTCTCTCTTCCCTCTCTCCCCTCTCTCTCCTCTGTCCTCTCTCCTCCCTCTCCCTCTCCTCTCTCTTTCTCTCTTTCCTCTCTCCCTCCTCTCTCTCCTCTCTCCTCTCTCCCTCTCTCTCTCTCTCTCTCCTCTCCTCTCTCTCCTCTCCTCTCTCTCTCTCCCTCTCTCTCCCTCCCTCTCTCTCTCCTCTCTCTCTCTCTCTCTCTTCCCTCTCTCTCCTCTCTCCTCTCTCCTCTCTCCTCTCTCTCCTCTCTCTCTCTCTCTCTCTCTCTCTCTCCCTCTCTCTCTCCTCTCTTCTCTCTCTTCTCTCTCCCTCTCTCTCCTCTCTCCTCTCCCTCCTCTCCTCTCTCTCTCCTCTCTCTTCCCTCTCTCCCTCCCTCTCCTCTCCCTCTCTCTCTTTCTCTCTCTCCCTCTCTCCTCTCCTCTCTCTCTCCTCTCTCTCTCTCTCTCTCTCTTTCTCTCTTCTCTCTCTCTCCTCTCTCTCCCCTCTCTCCCTCTCTCCTCTCCTCTCTTTCTCTCTCTTTCTCTCTTCCCTCTCTCTCTCCCTCTCCTCTCCTCTCTCCTCTCTTTCTCTCTTTCTCTCTTCCCTCTCTCCTCTCCCTCTCCTCTCCTCTCTCTCCTCTCTTTCTCTCTTTCTCTCTTCCCTCTCTCCCTCCCTCTGTGCGCGTGTGTTTCTGACTCACTTTCCCGCTCCTCGTCTCTCCTGTGTCGCGTGCTTTTGTCTCGCGCTCGCAGTCGGACCCTCGCGCTCGGCTTCATTGTGCTCGCGCAGGTGCCTCGCGCTCCGGGAGCATTACTCACGCGCTACGTCGCTCTCAAAAACAACCGCGCTGAAGTTATGAATTTCACGCTTAAATACACTCTCAACTTTTGCCTTCCGAGTGTTAAGTTAAAGGTGCACTGCGTAACTTTTCTGGTACTGGTGTTTTTCAGATAACACTGCAGTATGCCAGGAAATAGTTGTTACTGAACCTGCTAACCTGCTATACATGACAACAGAATAGCATGTACAACGCTGTCATGTCAACACAACAATCTCCAGAAAGACGCAAAGTTGTGGGTCAGATCTGTGGAGAGGCAATCCCACTCACACTGCCTGTTTTGCTTGGTATTTTTGAGCAGTAAAAAAACACATTTCATTTTACAAACACAGGATACGCATAATGCCATGTCGCGAAACAATAGTGCAATCACATCTCCATGGAGACAAGCAGGTGGCCAACTCCACTTCCTGAAAAATGACACAGTATACAGTAAAACCATTAAGAATGTACTGTAGCGTCTCGCTCAATGGAGTAAATCAAAGAGAGCTAGTTCATGAGATGATGTTTTATTAACTTAATTGACAGCCAAAAATACCACAGAAATAGTCATGTTGTGCCAGTGGCGGAGTTAGCAATTTGGGGGACCCCAGGCGAACTTGAGTGTGGGGCCCGAACTTGAGTGTGGGGGATTTTATTTTTTTATATTTATTGTCTGTTTGTTTGTTTGTTTGTTTTTTTTTTGTTTTGTTTTTTATCCATATTGTTCATGAGACACGTGCATCTTTATTTGAATTAGGGTGGATTAGAAACTTGTCTTATTAGTTAGGAAGCCTACTAGATAAACAAAGCTGAAAGTAGTTTTATTTTTTTGCTAGTATAATTGCATTTTTGTTTACATCCATTACATATGCTGACTATGCTGTGATTATGTACAAATCAGGGTCAAGCTGACTAGTCCATTCTAACATGAAATGAGGGAAAGCATTGACAGTTAAAGTAGATTTGACAATCAGATACTATTTTGGTGGTGTTTTCTTGGTGGTGTTTAAAAGTAAACTTCTCTCGTTTAATGTCATACTGAGAGAAAATCTAATTGCTGTGAGTCCTCGCCTATTAGTGGCACTGAGGGCAATTGGTTAGGGGCCCCTCCAGGTTTGGGGGCCCAAAGCAGCCATCTACTGTTGCCTAATAGTAGCACCGCCTCTGTGTAGTGCATAAAATAACAGTGCGTTTATAACATATTTTATACTTTATCATGACACAAACATTTCACAGGAATAAGGTGACTTTTTAACATTGACATTACTGCAGGCTGCTGTAGTACTTTAAAGGTACACTAGAACTTTTCTGGTGGACTGTCTGTCATTACATAAGCTTTGTCTGGAATGTTCCACAGTATGGCTTTATACTAGCATTTATTGTGTTGCATTAAATATCTTGGCCTTGTAGCATCACCTGTTTGTTTGCATAAAAATAGATTAGAGTTAGAGTTTAATGCCATACTGTGGGATAGGGGTGTGCAACAATATTGAAATATCAATATATTGTATTGTTTCATTTGATTTTACAGTATCAATATCGTGGGCTGCTGTATATATCGATATATCACCAAGAGTAATTTTTGGTATGTTTTACTAAATTGTTTTATGTAAAAGCTAT